CTTTTCTTAGTGTACTAACTCTTAACTGGATTATCCTAAAAATAATAAATAACTGTGCTCCTCCTTTGCCTTCTCGCCAAAAAATGTTTAAGGATTACATCTCCTAACAGCCAAATTTATCCTGAAGAAGCATTCATAATCTCTACACTTAGATCAAACATTATTTTCATTAAACCAATCTGGTTCTAATCAGAAATGGGATAAGTATCTGCCAAATGTCCGATAAAACATCAAAAAGTGTATAAATATTATCTGTTTTTACATTTTATCAAAAATATAAAGGTGAAAATGTATTTTATGCTTTTTTCAATAACCCATAGTAATAAAGTATGTATACTATTTATAGTCTATAGTGCCTTTAAAAATCATAGCTGTTTAAACCTTTCATTAAGCTCAGGTTGTCATGTCCTTGCACCAAAGGCTGGGTTTTATTCCTTTTTTACTTACCGTCTTCAGATCCACCTGTTCCTGCTGCTATTTATGCCGCCGGTTCTCAGCCATTGGTGCCAGAATATTCGAGCTTAAAGCAAGAATAACTCTAGCGTTCCTATATTTGTTCTTCTGCCTGTTCCTGACCTGTTTCTGCCTCCAGACTTCTGTTTGCTCTGTTTGACTGTCCTGTGTTTCCGGGCTATTAGCTGGAATCCGCCTGTTGTCGACCTCCGACCTGTCTTCTTACCACAGCACAGATATCCCCCCTTTGACTGGACCCTTCAGTTCCTCTGCATGCAGTAGCTACTGCAAGACGCTGCTCCTCTTCCTCCATGGATCTCTGGTTCCAGCTCAGTAACAAACAACTGAGTTCTGCTCCTCTGGACTACACTCCCTCATCTGGGCAGCTGCTCGAAGACTTCAATAAACACCTTCACCTAATTTATCATTCTCTGTCTCGCCTGAATTCTGGGTCCTACATTCTGAGCCTTCTCACACAGGTAATTGGTGCTTAATGTCTGACTATTGTTATATTATTTATTTGACAAGAATATATTTCCAAAATCAAAAGCAAAGTATGCTGTTTTCTCCATAACAACAAGGAGGAGAAGCTGAATAGATCTCTTAAATAATTACATCACATTTCACCAAGAAAACACTGGTTAACCTGGAAAAGAAGCTACTATACACGATGCCTTGCGAAAGTATTTGGCCCCCTTCAAATTTTTAACCTTTTTCTGCATTTAAGACTTCAAACATAAAGTTATTAAATTGTATATATTTTTTTTTTTTGTTAAGAATCAACAAGTGAGACACAATCACAAAGTAGGTCGAATTTATTGAATATTTTACACTTAAAAAAGAAAAACTTAAAAACTTGGTGTGCAAAATGATTCACCCCATTGAGTTTAGACTTTGTGGAGCTTCTGCGATTACAGCTGCAAGTCGCATTGGGGTATGTCTCTATCAGTTTTGCACATTTAGAGACTGAAATTCTGTCCATTCTTCCTGCAAAACAGCTGGAGCTCAGTTGGATTGGTTTATCTGTGAACCTTTTCATTGTAGACCTTGCTTTATGTTTTGCATCATTGCATCATCTTCCCATCAAATTTAACCAGTTTCTCTGTCCCTGCTGAAGAAAAGTAGGCCCAAACCATGATGCTGCCACCATAAATTAGAGTTTACATGTGAAAAAAAGAAAGAAAGAAAGAAAGAAAGAAAGATAGAAAGAAAGAAAGAAAGAAAGAAAGAAAGAAATGTAAAAATCAGGACAATTAGCGCCATCCCAGGAATACCCTGCAAAATTCTACAGCTATTTCTTCTCACCCTATAAATCTATTTTGAAAAGGTTTTATTGCATATAGAAATAAAAATTCTGTTTTCAATTTGTTATAAGCCATGCAGGAGTCAGGAGAAGGTGTTCATCTGGTGATAAGAACACATTAAACTCTTTGGACTGACAAGCTCACATCATCTGAAAGTGTTCCCATGGTGCTAAATGGTGGAGGCAGCATCATGCTGTGGGGATGCTTCTCTTCAGCAGGGGGGGGAAAGCTGATCATGTCAAGGTTTGGTTGTGGTTTGAGGACCCAAATGCAGAGGCAGAGGCGAGTTTTTGTAGATTTAATGAAATGTTCACAAACAACCGAGGCAGGAATCCAAAAATCCAACAAGAAAAATGTCAAACGAACCAGAATCATGGAGAGATCAGAGAAAAACAATCATGACGAAGCAGGCACGTGCAGAGGGGGGGGCAAATGGGGCTTGAGCACCTGCCCCTTTTGCTCCATGATCCCAATGTGCCCTTTTTTTTTTTATTTTTTTTTTTTGACACATGTACTGGAATTATTATTATTATCTTTTTTTTTGGCAAGAAAAACAATACAATAAGCCCTCCGGTCACATTGTTACCTTTGACCTTTTGCCGGTGACGACGCACTTGCCTCTCGCACAGTCAGATAAGGCGGCTAACTGCGGAGCTAAAGGTAGCGAACATTCCACATTACACTGTGGCCGCTGCTCATTTGGCCCTAAGCAAGATCAACCATGATCGGACGGATGGCTGTCGTCAGTCTGCACCGCCTCTCCAATGTCAACCTGAATAGAGATGTAAGTAAAACCAAATGAGCCCCATGGATGATGCAGTATTGTTTGATATAAAACACTGTTTGCTCTGTGCTTTTAGTCTTTTACATTGAAAATTATGTTTTTTAATTCACAGAAAACTGGTCTGTAATGATTACAGAACAATTTTTTTGTGAATTAAAAAACATAATTTTTGGTGAAAATACTGGAGTAGGCTTCCTACTTGTCAGACAATGGAAAACTTTGAACGTTGTATAATTTCTCTACTTTAGCAAAGAGTAGCGGTTTAAACGGAGGAAAGTAGTTCTTTCTCTGAAGAACTACTGAGCGGGAGGAGACAGCCAGGTGAGGAAAAGCTGTTCTTATCTATCGATTCAGTATTTTTAGCTAGCTAGCTGCTAGCTAATGACTTTGCTAGCAAAGCAAGATAACTAAAAAGCTTCCCTGTGTCGTTAATGATAGTAGGACATTCTTCAGTATTACTTATGCAATTGGGGCACATCGCCCGTCAAAAACCTATTATCTCCATAATGGATATATGTCTGATTTTCTAATTTCCTTTGCTGCATGATGTACATTTCATTTATTCTAGCGTTAGGTAAATGTATCTTAAAGGAGAACTCATCCAGAACTACCATGATAGATATATGATAGATATAATGTATGAAGCTGCAAGGAGGATCGGTTGTCAGACCTTCTTTTGTTGGCAATCGAGAAGGATGTGCCAATCATTCACTGTGAGGTTATTAACATTTTTAAAGACATGGCTAACAGAAAACTGCTGCTGTGAACAAAAGAGAACAAAAATAGCAAAAATGCTTAAAAGTTGGACATTTGTTTTTAAACAGTTAAATCACCATGATGGAAAATAAGTTTTTGGATCATAATCTTGGATTTAGTTTGGGGGAAAAAGAAAGGCAAGAGACTGAAATAAATAAGACATTGACCTTCACTCAACACAGAAAAGATGAGACAATGAGGAAAAAAAGAAAAGAGAAACTGACAAGAAAAAACGAAGAGGAAAGATTGAAGAAAATGTATATAGGTACTTACAAAATACACTGAGACACAAACAGAGTAGGCTTTTCTCATGGTGACATGCATTAATAAAATGTTTGTTTTGTTCTTTTTTTCCTGCAGTTCCATGTTAAAGTTTGATGCAGCAGCTCTGCTTTTCTGAATGGACCGTCTCCATCTCCACTGTCAGTACAGCAAACCAGGCAGACATTCTTTTTTATAGATTACAGTACACTAAAAGGTTGCATTGTGCCCTTGTATGCATTTTTAACAGTTTAATTCTGTAAAGACAAAATATGTCTGGTGGTCCAGCTCTGATTTACATCTTTGGCTAAATTGCAGGTTTGAATATTGTAATACTTTCCTATAAGAAAATAGACCTGCAGAAAGAAATTACTAATAAAATATTTTACATATGCATAGTTCTATGTTCTATGTAGAGATTTCCCTTAGCTTTGATTGTATGTATCACAATTTTGTAATTTATCATTGTTCATTAAACTCTGAAAGCTATGTGACTTTGTTAATATTCTGTCCTAAAATGCGATAAGATGTGCCCCTTTTTTTTTTTTTTTGAGCACCTGCCCCTTTAGTGGTCTCTGCACGGCCCTGTGACGAAGGTAAGATGAAGTAAGACGAGCTATGACGGAGTTAGACGAGGAACCAGCACTGAGGAACTGCACAAGGAGAGTATTATAGGAGATTGAGCAAAGAGAGGACTAAGGAGCTGATTGGGAGCAGGTGTGAAGAGAGGAGTCTAGAAAGGAGCTAGGGAAAAGGAGACCGACACAAGAGGGCAACAAATGAATACCTAAGAACTGAAATATAACTAGAAAACACAACAGAATAAGAATTACAGCAATAAAACTAGAAAACATGGAGCAAAGTAAAACAGGATACTCAAAAGAAAACATAACAGAACCAAGACTGTAACAGATCAGGGTTGATGAGAAGATGGATGGAGGGTCAGTCTGCACTAAAACCAATAATAGGCTGCAGAAGGCTTGGCCCAGGGGTGGGGGGGATTCTCCTTAGGACATCATGTAGCGCTCTGTAAAATGATTTACATCAAATCACTCGAAGTCAAGAACTAAATCCATTTGAACTTTTTTTTTTTTTTGAAGACTTGCCCATTTTTCAAAGTTCAGCTGCAAGAAGATTAAAAATAACATCTTAATATTAGGCTGCAGCTTAAGAGGTGATGTGTTGCAGAAAATCATAAAATACATAGAAGTTTACTTTAAAATACATTTCATTAGAACAAAACCTTTTCAGCTGGTCTGCATACTTTACCAATGCAACTGCTCTAAAACCCTGTTTATCAAAACTTCTCATTAAGGATAGATGGATCAGATTTGGCTTGATTGATTGATTTGATGGATTGCTTAATAAGCAACCTTGCAGCAGCGTTCACCTGGACCCCCCCACTACCACAGCCTGCTTAGTGATTCCCCCTCCATCCACAGCTGCGGTCATAACGTGACAGCATCCAGCTGGAACCAAACGGAGCAGCAGCAGCAGCGCACAGGCGAACTCCTCATCCCAGCAGGCTGTGCTGCTCCTGCAGTCCGCAGACAGGCGAAGGCTGGCAGGGATCGGTCCCTGCTGCGGCTCATCTGGAAACAAACACACAAAAAAATCCCGCAATTTCATAAGCGACTCTGTCCGTGTGTGATTGTGTGCGTGAGTGTGTGAGAGAGAGTGCGCACGGGATTTTTTCTTTTCTTTTTTTTTTTTTTTTAGGCGGTCGTTGTTGAGAATAATCCGTTTTTTAGGTGAACGTTTCCATCCGAAGAGGACGGGGGTTTCTGGACTTTGCAGGAGGCAGAGCTGCTCAATTCCGACAGAGAACCCCCCTAAAATCTAGTCTTTAATAAGGTAAGAGGCGGCTGTCTGCATGCGTGCATGGTTTTATTCTAACATGCAGCCATCAGGATGGGAATGGAGGATCGGAGGCACCTGCGCATCCATCATAAAGCCTGAAAAAACAAGACATGGGCGATTTATTAGGTGGAAAAAAACAAAATGTCATTCGGTTTTAGGACGAGCTAATTGGCCTGTGTGCGGGTCTGTGGAGGCAGTGAGGGATGCGGGCTGATTTTCATATAAAATATTCCTGCGTTTTTATTAAACATATAAAGGTGTGTCGGATTATTGCTTTTTCACATGTCTGTCTCGTAGATGAGTCGGAAAGAAGTGATTGGGTGCAGGATTGGGAGGGGGGGGGGTTTGCTCTCACTGCGTCGTTTCCATCGGAATGCAGCATCCCCCCCCCCTGCACTCGGACGGCTCTAATACCATTAACTCATTTGTTATTGCCCAAAGCGCCAAAGGGGAAGGATGGATGGGGGAGGTGGGGTAGATACGGCATCTTCTGCCCCCCCCCCCCCCCCCCCCCATATGACAGAAAACATGTCATTCCATATTTAGGGATTTTCTTTCGTATAAAATTCTGATGATTTCAAACCAAAAAGCCGCAGTAGCCTGATTGTGTATAAATGTTCCTCAGCTCCTACTGCAAACTGTTTCGTCCTCAAGGTCATCCATGGCAGCCCTGCATGCAGTTCAAAGCAGGGATCTGTAGCTGCATGGTCAACCGTTCGGGTCTGGATTGAGCGTCAAAACGCGAAGCTTTGCTCATATATATAAATTATTATTATTATTTTATTATTTGGCTGCGGCGCACTATGTTGCTGCTGCTTGTGGTCGAAGGCCCGAGTCAGCGCAGTGCAGCGTGGAGCTGTCCAGCGTGCTGCTGCAGACATGGGACCTTTCACTGATTTCATTCCACTCCTCTCTTTCTCTGGCTGGATTTGATGTCACAATAAAACATATAGAAACGTGATTTGCAGGAAAATTGTACAAAAGCAAATCTGAAAAGTGTGGCGTGGATTTATAGCTTCCCCTTCTGAGTCAGTGAAAATAAAATCTATACCACAGCTTAAGGTCTTAAGGGGAAATCTTTATTTGGAATGTAAAATACAGGCTACAAATAGAAAGGACATCAACTGATGCGTCTTGCATCTGCACTCATTTGGTCGATGAAATAAAACAAGAATATTTAGGTTCTGAGACAAGAAAAGTCAGCAAAAAAGACAAAAATACCCTAATCCTGCAGCATCCATAACATCCACACTTTGACATCCATTTTCTTTAATCTAAACCCTGGATTATGACTCTTTGTTTCACATCAGCTCTGATCCATTCAAAACATTCTTACCCATATGAATCCCTGTAGCTCCTCCAGAGTACCCAGGAGCAGCTTGTCTGCTTCAGATTGATGCTGTTTTCCCGACCTGTCGGCTTAGAGGTGGATGGTTAGAGTTGTTCCAAAATATTCTCATTCCCAGGGGTTGGATTGAACAGAGCTTTGTTAAATGTTCAAAGCTCTATTTGTGAGATCACATTACATGCAGAGGATACCAGGGGTGGGTAGTTACTACTAACATTTAGTCAGTTACATTTACTTGAGTGACTATTTGAAGAGTAGTTTGCAGTTTTAGGAGTAAATTTATAACATTAAACTTTCTACTTTTGCTTAAGTGAAAAAATTAAGTATCACTACTTTGACTCAAGTGAAATTTCTTGTGGTTCCATCCATTGTGAATAACTTCACTTAATGAAAACAAGCTTTTCTAAACAAATATGCACCACTAAGAGACACTTTTCTTTTTTGTACTCAAAGCTTATTGGCTGAATGTGTTTATCCATCGGCTGAGACTGCTGTTTCATTGGATATCTAGTGAAAATACAATAAACAGTATACTGTAATTTATCCTATTCTAACATAAAAACATAAAAAATATTATTTTAAGTATTCATCCCACATTCTTTTGTTATCGTGTAATTAATAAGTGAACTGGCTTTATTATCTCATTCTTTAAATCACAGAAATTGTATGTAGCTTTATTGTTTGTATAATTTTAGATCATCTTGTCAAACGTAAAATCAGTTGTTACGATCATGTGTAGTGTGTAGATCAGTTGCTCAGGACTTGAGTTTTTAACAAATATTTTTTTCTCTTGTGTAATTTCTAGAAGGGTTACTTTACCTAAGTAAAAATATGATGAAGTTGTGCTACTTTTACTGAAGTACACTGCAAAAAATATAAATCTCAATAAGTTATTTTTTCTTAAAATAAGTGTGCTTTTCCTTGATTTGAGGAGGTAAGTAAGACACTTTGCCAATGGAACAAGACAATTTCCTTTTAAAATAAGAAAAAACTATTTTATCGTCTTATTTCAAGTAAATATTATCTAACTATCTTATTTTAAGAGTGAAAATACTCATTCCATTGGCAAATCATCTTATTTACCTGCTCAAATTAAGGCTAAATATACTTAATTTAAGCCATTTTTTACTTATTTCTGGATTGTTTTTGCAGTGTACTTTTTCTGGTTACTCTACCCACCTCTTTGGGTTATTAACTAGGTAACCTCTAACTGTTCTGGATTTTAACAGAGTGGCAGATTTGTAATTCTAAAACATGTAGAACCCGAGTCACCATTATACATTACTCTCTGTTGGGTTATGAAATCCCAATCTCTCAAAGACGCACAGGTTTGTAGTTGTTCTGGACGCCTCCTTCATTGACTGAAGGTGAAAAGAGCCCCAAAGCATCCCCTTCTCTCATCAGTTTAATTATGCATCAGAAAGTCTGCCTATTCTTGGCCACCTTATGTCATTTGCCACATCATGAGTCAATAATTGATGAACGTGGGGCTTCAGAGAGGCTGCTGGAGTTGTCATAACTGCTGCTGAGTGGTTTTCATCGTGTGGATAAAGAACTAATCAGAAGCCGGTGGTGCAGCGGACTGTCCGCAGCATTAGGTTACTTACAGACCATTCAGTTAAGAAACATATTCCCCACTGATCCAGATTATAGCCCGGCCTGCTGCGTGTTACCCCCCCCCCCCCACTGTGCAGACTCACTGCAGCTCTGTACCTCTTACATGCAAGCTGAGGCTTTGTTGTGATTGTCATCAGCATGGGACAGTGTTTGCAGTGGAAACTGATAGCACAGATCGAACGTTTGGTCATCTGCTGTGACAGCGAGGATCCAGGTCAGAGCTAACCGGGGGCCCGAAGCCTGTCACGGACGGGGGGGGGGGGCACAGAAATAGAACAGGAGCATCATGGAACTATTTGTGCTCCCATAACTAATAAAATAGATAAATAAAGAATAGAATAAGGCTGTTTTTGGGGGTGAAAATAGACCATTGAAATTAAACACACATTCACATTGTGTTGAATTAGTCACTAAGGCTGGTTTTATGTGAAATATATGAATAAAGAGGTGCACCAGTGAAGGGGAAATCAACAGAAAGTCAAGAAAAATGTTGTTTTAGAAACCCGTAAAATTGAATTCACTGCACAGAAATGCCTTCAGTAAACAGTCACTGTGTGTGATTTTAATCTTTCTGTAAATCCAGGTAAAAAAACAAAAATCTCAGCAGATAAATCAAAGATTAGGTGTGAAAACGAAAAAGGTATTAAAATAAAGAAATAACAAGAGATGGCCCAAGGTAACTCTGGAGGAGCTGCAGAAACAATAAGACATTTGATCTGAAGTGTTTAAAAAATCAAACCATTTAGTTCACCTAAATGATAAGATTAATTTAACTTTATGATATAACAAATTCCCAATTACAATTTTATTCTAACAAAAACAACTGTTAAATAAACCTTACATGTTTAATATTCATTTCTATTAAAACGTTTTTTTTATTAAAGATTCATTATAATCTGGTTAATGTATTTAGTACTAATAAAGTACTAATTTGAAAATCATACTAATGAATGTTTTTATTTAAAATATATGAAGCTTATTGTTTGAATTGAACACAGGAAACTGTGATTATTTTGCAATTCATTTATTATGCTATTCAATTATTATGCAATTCTAACAATAAACCTTATGAATTTAAAATAAATAAACTCATTAATATTAATTAGCAGTACGTATACTTTTCTATTTCTAATTATATCCACCTGACGAGTACACATTTTTAATAAATAAGCTATATTAGATGTATATGCATCATGTAATGTTCATTTAATATTATCAATTTTATCACATTTATGTAAAAAAAAATTTTTTAAGTAAATTAGAGTTTGTTATTAAATAAAATTACATAAATCTTAGAATTTTGGGGGAATTGTTTGTGAATACACTTAATGCAGAAATCACCCAGCAGCTTATCAACATTCCAACACCACTACATACACCAATGAATGCACTCACCAGTCCAATGCCTTGCCAAAGAGCCCTGGGGGAGGAATTTGAAATTACAAGATGATTGGTCTTTCAATAAAAACCACAGCAACCCAATGAGCCCGATGAGAACCAGGACTAAACACACCCTTAGCATCACAAACCCCACGGCGGAAGCATCATCATGCTGAAGGGACTCTTTTCCTCGGCAACTTCAAGAGCGTCAGACTCATCGGGGAGAGAGAGTTCAGTACAGAGACATGCTGTTGGAGAAGGGGGGCTCAAGCTGTAGGGCATATGAAACTGCTAATCAAATGGCCAAGAACACGACTCACACAAACAAAACACTCCAAGGAGAACAACTGGTGGGTCAATGATTTGCATCTCACTTTAAATGCACCCATGAGAATGGGCCGTGGTGTGCTTGAAGGCAGCAGCAACCAAACAACAGGTTGCTTTAGTTTGAGCCGCCAGGATCCACTAAGACTCCTGGATAGGTGTTGAAATGTTTTTCCGAAAAGTGAGTTTTGTGTTCTGTGTTGTGGTTACAATGACCTGGATAACTGCCCTGCTGTTTGTCTGATAGCAGCAGCTTAAAGAGTTCATGGAGGGAATAAGGAGAATCTGAACAGTTTTAGAGTTCTGCTCATGCAGCAGGTCAGAGTTATTAAAGTGGCCATTTTTGTTCTCATTACTTTCCTCTGCAAGGTCTGCTGGTCTACATTAGCCTACTGCAGCAAAAGTACCAATTAAAAAAAAATATAGACTATTCCCCAAATGTTCTTCTAAAAGTGCTGCTCAGTAATATAAAAACGAACGTTCAGAGCCCTCTAGTGACTTTTTTCTAAGAAGCAAATAGCTACTTTTTCCTGTCTTATTGGAGTCTTTTGGGACACTTAGAGCCCCAATCTGAGTTTACTGTCTTCAGTGAACATTAAGTAAAAGAGCCCCTTGCCTCCTCAAAAACACAGGGACTCAGATGCAGCAGCTGCAGCAATGTTTGTCTGCAATCAGACAGCAGAGCGACTCGCTTAGTCGCAATGCTGTCACACGTGCAAAGCTTCCACTGACCCCCCCCATTTAAAAATCATAATGAAAATCTGATATTTAGCGTATTCTTTGCTTTAAAACTGTTGCAGTGAAATAGTGGTTTTAAGCTGCCCTAGCAGGCACAGCCACAGCATCTCAGAGCAGAGAATACTGACGTTTTTTATTATTATTATTATTTTCTAGACCTAACTTTATAATCTTAGTTATGTTTTTCTTTATTAAAATCGGATGGATAATTAATACAATTCTGTGGTGGGACAAACTGAGAAAACACATTTTTTTATACTTGAAATGTACTTTAACAAATTTAGGACTAAGGTCATCCCTGACATTAAAAATCACCAATATTTCTGTGCAGCTTTTAGCTGAAATTCATTAATGATTTGTTTCTTCACCAGAGGAATTATGGGAAAGCAAAACAGCAAGCTGACTCCTGAGGTGATGGAGGATCTGGTGAAGAACACAGAGTTTAATGAACACGAGCTGAAACAGTGGTACAAAGGCTTCCTGAAAGACTGCCCCAGCGGCCGGCTGAATCTGGATGAGTTCCAGCAGCTTTATGTCAAGGTTGGCATGCCGTTTAGCTGCCTCTCTCTTATCCACCCCAATAAAATGACATCATACCAATCCTGCACTGGTTAACTCACAGCACACCTTTTTATTTTTTATTTTCTTACATGTGCAGTTCTTCCCATATGGCGACGCGTCGAAGTTTGCAGAACATGCCTTCAGGACCTTTGACAAAAACGGAGATGGAACCATCGATTTCCGAGAGTTCATCTGCGCCCTGTCCATCACCTCCCGCGGCAGCTTTGAGCAGAAACTCAACTGGGCGTTCAACATGTATGACCTGGACGGCGACGGCAAAATCACCAGAGTGGAGATGCTGGAGATAATCGAGGTGAGGCGGATTATCGACTCATTAAAGCCTTCACCCATCAGGAGACGACTGGGTTTGGTCTATCAGGCTGCTGCACACCTGCAGATGCTGCAGCATCACAGATGCACTCAAAGACAAAGCCTCGTAGTGACAAAGCTGCAGCTGTATTGGATATCTACGTGCTATTTTAGGGAACTCAATCAATGAGGGGAATCTAATCTGTGTTGGTGATATCGGAGAATATTGACTAATCCAGCTGGGATAAATATAGTGTGCTTTATTCTAGTCATTCATAATGTGCCTGGAGTTTGTGTTGTAGGTAAAGCGCTCTGATAGAAGAAGAAACAGACTGTGGTTTAAGCATCAGCACCTCAGTAACTGAACCTTTTATTTTGGTTTTTATGTCAGAACTGATTATTTACCAGTACTGATTAATAGGGGTGTAAATAATAATCGTTTTGTATCGATGCATCGATCCAAAAGCCGATGATCCGATGCATCGACACGTCCGCAAGATAATCGATTCATGTTTTTTTCCCCTCCGGTCTATTTTTATCCATTTGCTCCTGGGCGTAATTCTCCCTCCCGTGCTGCGGTGGAGCTAAACCTATTTTGCCCTCCTACCTCGCTTCCTGGTTATACTCTTACAGCAGTTTGTTGCAGCAAGCTTCACACAGACATTTTTAAATTATGCTCAGTATTGAAGCGTGGTCTGGGCTACACGCTGTGGGTCTAGATACGGCCGAGGCGGTGAGGAAGTGGGGACGAGTTTAGTCCGACGACGAAGGGACAATGGGGCAAAAAGAGCGGAGATCCAGCTGGAAAAAGGGTCCCAGCGTACTCGCGCACCTCGATCTTCTAGCGGGTCAAACTTCACGAGTCGTTTTCCGCAATTTCGGTCATAAAAACAAAATAATAATAATAATAATAATACATTTTATTTCAAGCGCCTTTCAAAACACTCAAGGTCACTGTACATATAAAAACAATAAATGGTAAAAAGCAGTCGTCATAATTAAAAGAAACAACACAAATTACACAGAGGAAAGTAATATAAAATCATAATGAAAAGGCAATCTTGAACATGTGGGTTTTGAGTTTGGATTTGAATACGGGTAAAGACTCGGTTTTGCAGATGTCAGAGGGGAGAGAGTTCCAGAGTGTGGGCGCAGAACGTGAAAAAGCTCTGCTCCCCATGGTTTTAAGATGGGCTGAAGGAACAACTAAGTGAGTGGTAGAAGAAGATCTAAGAGTGCGGGAGGGAGTAGAAATTTGAAGTAAATCAGAAAGGTATGGAGGGGAGAGATTGTGAATAACTTTAAAAGTAAGTAGGAGGATTTTGAACTGAATTCTATACTTCACAGGTAGCCAGTGGAGCTGCTGCAGGACTGGGGTGATGTGATGAAAAGAAGGGGTTCTAGAAATGATGCGAGCTGCTGAGTTTTGTACTGACTGAAGCCTGTGAATGGATTTTTGAGGAAGACCAAAAAGAAGAGAATTACAGTAATCAATGCGGGAAGTGACCAGACTATGAACAAGAGTGCAGGTGGAGCTAGTGGAGAGAGAGGGGCGAAGGCGATTGATATTGCGTAAGTGAAAGTAAGCGGAACGGGTAAGGTTGTTAATGTGAGAGGAGAAGGACAAGGTACTATCAAGGATGACACCCAGACTCTTGACCTGAGGTGAGGGGGAAATTATGGAGTTGTCAAATGAAAGGGAGAAACTGTCAGCTTTGGATAAAGTAGATTTTGTTCCCACTAAGAGGATTTCGGTCTTGTCATTATTCAGTTTAAGAAAGTTGGAGGTGAACCAGGATTTTATTTCGGTTAAGCAGGAGATTAATGAAGGAGGTGGGAGTGAAGAGTTTGGTTTACAGGAAAGATAGAGCTGGGTGTCATCCGCATAACAGTGAAAATTGATGTTGAATTTCCTAAAGATATTGCCAAGGGGGAGAATGTAGATGATAAAAAGTAGGGGTCCTAGAACAGAGCCTTGGGGAACACCGGTGGTAACTGGAGAGGAGTTGGAACGATATGACTTAATCTGAACAAACTGAGTGCGGCCAGAAAGATAGGATTGAAACCAGGCTAGGGGAGTGTGAGTGATGCCAATTGTATAAAGTCGATGGAGTAGGGTAGAGTGTGAAACTGTGTCGAAGGCTGCACTTAGATCAAGAAGAATGAGAATGGAAATTAGACCAGAGTCAGCTGCTATTAAAAGATCATTGATTATTTTTAAGAGGGCGGTTTCAGTGCTATGACGGGGACGGAAGCCAGACTGGAACTGTTCATAAAGGTTGTTGTGAGTTAAGTGAGAATGAAGTTGAGAAGCGACTGTTTTTTCCAATATTTTTGAAATAAAAGGTAAATTTGAAATTGGCCTGAGATTATTGTAATTGTTGGGATCTAGTCCAGGTTTCTTCACAATAGGAGTGATAATAGCAGTTTTGAAAAGAGATGGAACAATTCCAGAACCAAGAGAGGAGTGGATGATGGCAGTTATGAAGGGGAGGAGAGCGTGAAGGCAGGATTTAACCAGGGCAGACGGGATGGGATCAAGTGGGCAGGTGGAAGATTTAGATTTGTTGATAAAATCAGAAATATCGGAGAGGGTAGGGAGATAAAAGCTGCAAAAAGGCTGGCAGGGTGAAGGGGTTATAGGGGAAGGGGGTGACAGGACAGGAGGCAGGCACTGGTGAATTATTTTGATTTTATCATTGAAAAACTGCATAATCGAATTGCAGGCGTCGGTTGAGCATAGGTGGGGAGGAAGAGAAGCTGGGGATTTGAAAATATTGTTAAACACCAAAAACAGAGTCCGAGAATTACTTTCGTGTGAGGAGATCAGGTTGGAATAGTAAGTGGATTTAGTTTTAGTGATTAGTTCTTTAAATTGAGTTATCTGAGTTATATACATTTCACTGTGAATTGTTAAACCGGTTTTCTTTTTAAGTCTTTCAAGTTGACGGCACTTAGCCTTCATGGTCCGGAGTTCAGGGGTAAACCAGGGGGCGGAGTGGGAAAAGGTGACAGTCCGGGATTTTGTTGGGGCAAGGAGGTTCAAAATATCATTTAAGCAGTTATTGTATTGAGATGTCAGTTCATCCGGTGAGGAAGAAGAATCCAGGATTAAAGTTCTTAGGATGTGTGAAGAGAGAGTGTCCAAGTTAATGTTCTTAATGTTCCGGTATGAAAGGAGCCGTGGGGTCTTTGCTGTGAAGAGACGAGGGGAAATGCTGAATAAAAGGAGGAAATGATCAGATATGTGAAGATCCTCAGCTGAACAGTTAGAGGGGGTAAGACCAGAGCAACAAATTAGGTCAAGAGTATGACCTTTAGAGTGAGTTGGAAAATTGGAAAACTGATCAAAACAATGCGTCTCTCAAGGGGGCGGTGACGTCAACACTCTGAAGCCTTCTTCTTCTTCTTTTTTTTAATGGCGGTTGGCAAGCAACTTATAGGTGCATTACCGCCACCTTCCAGAATGTAGTATGGACCAGACAAACTATTATATTCTCCCTAAAATACCCGTTCTTCTTAGAAAATTAAAAATACTACCAAAAACTACATCCCCAGATGACCTTTGAAACAATTCCCTTATATCTAGTTTATTTTTATTCCTGTCTAACTCTCTACGCAACATCTCTCTTTCCTGAGTATATTTATTACATTCTAAAAAAATATGTTGGACAGTTTCTCTGGAGCCGAGGTATTGCATTGAACTCATTACACTGATATTGTGCAGTATTTTTGCAGTATTTTTTTATGCAACTTTTCTACTTCTGTTATTTGCTGTTGTTTCTAAAGAAAATTCATAATGATATTACAGCTTTCATTGATTTATTTCAAACTTGAAACTTTGTTTAGCCTGTAAGGTGTAAAAAAAAAAAATAAATAATAATAAAAAAAAATAAAATAACCGATTAATCGATTAATCGAATCGAATCGTGGTGTATTCTTGAGTATCGAAAATAATCGAATCGTTGGGTCAGGAAATCGATACTGAATCGAATCGCCATGATGGATGTAATTTACACCCCTACTGATTAACCAGGGCTGCTGTGCTGAAAAAGGATTACGCTACTGATATCATAAAAATATGTTTTTTTTTGGAGTAGGCAAGGCAAGTTTATTTATATATATCACATTTCAGCGGTAAGACAATTAAATGTGCTGTAAAGGAAAAAAGAAAAAAGAATAGTCAATTGCAGTAGCAAAGAAAATAGGGAGTAAAAATGACAGATTAAAATCAAAGGATTATACAAAAAAATTATTAAAAAAAGATCAAATAAAAGCAATTAGTACGAAAATATAAACATAAGTTAGACTGGAAATGTAACGAATAATGTTTACATTGAATAGTCCAAGGCCACTTTAAATAAATGTGTTTTTAATCTCAATTTAAAGCAAATAACATTTTTAAAACCTACTAGGATTTTATTCCAGATTAATCGAGCATATGAACTAAATCCTGCCTCTCCATGTTTGGTTCTGGTTCTGCAGAGTAGATTAGAGACAGAAGACGTGATCTCTGGGTGGTTGATACACAATTTGACAATTAGTCTTTACTGTATTTTGGAAATTATCCATTCAGTGATTGATAGACTAACAGAAGTATTTTAAACTCTTATTCTCTGACCAACAGGAAGCAAATGTAACGATTTTATAAATGAGTTGATAGTTTCAGTGAGGACGCGGGCAGCAGTATTTTGGATCAACTGAGGCTGTCAGGTAGACTTTTTATCCAGACCTGTGACGATGCCATCACCGTAATCAATTCTACTAAAGATTAATGCATAAGTTGGCTTTTTTAGATCATTCTGAGAAGTTAGTCCATTAATCCTAAAGATGTTCTTTAGGTGACAGAAGGTCAACCTTGTCACTGGCTTTATGTGCCTCTAAAGGTTCAAGTCTGAGTCCATCGTTACAACCAGATTTAGAGCCTGGTTAGTGGTTTCTAGCTGTATTAACTGAAGCTGTGTTCCAGCTTTTTAATACTATTTTTTTGTTCCCTAGACTACT